AAGGAAGGGGTAGGGGTTCCCGAGCAAGCTGGGCTGCCTCCCATCGAGCGGCGAGCCATAGCCCGGTGGGAGCGCAACTGGAACGCCACTTGGTGCTGCCGGCGGCGCCTGGCCCCCGCATGGAACATCGGGCCTGCGACTCTGGACCACATCCTCGATAGAGATTACAGAGCACTGCATCCAGCTGAGGCCCCTGCCCCCCCAACGCTCAACAGCCAGATAGTAGCGGATGTGCCAGTGGACATTCTTAGATCCCTTCCGCGGATGGGCGCTGACGCCAAGGCCCTAGATCGCTTCGCCAAGGCTGGAGCGGCAAACCTCCCTGGGCCCAGCGCCTCGGGTGGAGCGGCCCCCGCGGCCGAGCAAGCCCCCAGGACTCTTGCACAGCTGCTGGAACTCCTGCCAGAGCTGCCAGTCCCGCTGTGGCCACTCCTGGACTGCAGGGACGTCAACAACCCCACGCTCAGCTCAGATGACCCCAGGAGCGGATCTGGCAGCGGAGACGTGGTCGTTCAGCGGCTCCCGGCGACCAACCTCCGGGACTTCCACCTTGGACTGGACTACACTTGGCGACAGTTCTGTCGCAGCCATCGCGATGACAGCATCCCAGAGCCTAAAAACGAAGAAGCCCCCTGGCCAGGCGGTCGGTTGACGGGGTTTCTCAGGACGGCGTACGGCGAATACATCTCGAAGGATTGTTCCCCGCTCAACCAGCCCTGGGAAGGTCAGCGACTGGCCGCCGCGCGGGTCGTCTCCCACCTCACCAACGGCGAAAAACACAAGGAGTCCTGGGAGCGGCACGCCGTGGCCCTCGCCCCGGCGAGTGGTTTCAACCCTGTCAGACACGAGATGGGCACGCTGACGAGTTTCCTACTCAGCCTCAGCGCCGACGCCCTGGCCTCGGCAACCATCACCTCCCTTGCGGAGTCGCACGCGCAGGCAATGAGTGAGGACAGACTAGGCAACACGGCAGGACGCCCTTCGGCACAGCGGCCCGGCCCCAAGACTGATGCTCCAGCAAGACACGCGGGAGACACCTCTACGGCAGCTGGCGCAGACAACCCTTTGGGTACGAAAGACGCCGACACGCGGTCTGGTGACCCGAACGCACCTGACCTCGCTGCCACAGACGAGGACGGCGAAGACGAAATCCCACTCACTGGAAAAGCGGATTCAGCCGACTTTGGAGGCCCCCAAGAGTCTCCTCCTCCTGGATACTGCACGGACTCGGCCACGGAAGTTGAGGACAATGGCCCCGGCGACAAGCCGCCTCAGCAAAGCCCAACGGCAGACAGCATGGAACCCAGCTCCGACCACCACCCGATAGCCGCCCGGGGTGGCACAGCCAACACCGAGCAGAACGCCAGTGGGACCAGGGGACCAGATCATGACGAAATTGCCCGAGACAGAGGTACTACGCAGGACCGCCGCCCCCCACTACTTAACCCACAGGCACTTGGCCATAGGCTTGCCTACTCTGGCGCAACGGAGCGACACGGTCTCAACCAGCTGACCGACGCCCATGGAGGCCCCATGTACAAGGCCTGGTCGGGCACCGTGGACTTGGAGCGCCGCGGAGAGTTGCCCGCCAAGCGCATCACCAGGCACCAAATGGAGTTGGGTGGAATATTATGTGCTCTGTGGTCGGCCTGCACAAAAGGCATCCGGATCCCTGGGACCAGGGGCCCCAAGTCAGACCCGAGGCTGCGCTCGGACGCGACCATCAACAAGTTTTTGGATGACTGGAAGCACTGTGGATACGATGCCTACGTGATGGACAGGAAGTATAACTTCCGCATCGATTGGGCAGCGGCGCGGGCCGAATACATGCGCCGCACCAGGCCCGACGGCACGGGCAAGGGCAACCACCAGCAGAGCAGCTGGCACGACCTGGCGACGAGCTCCTGGGACGCCTGGGACAACTGGCAGAGCGACTGGAGCGCTGGCTGGCACGACGACCGGCGGCAGTCAGGAGGCAAGCGTGGCGGCGGCAGGCCAGACGATCGTGGCGAAAAAAAGCAACGATGGGGCGACTGAGCTCCCCTCCCACCCCTCCCATCCCCTAGAGGGACAGGTGTAGCGTCCGAGTTTCACACTTCGCGCAGCCTTCAGCTGCCTCCCTGGGCTCTCTCAACCCGTGTGGCGGCCTTGCTGCCGCCCTCCCTGGTACACGCACTTCCTGCCTTAGGACCCAAGTGTGTCTACCAGCAATACCATCTGCATGGCAGCGCGGGGGAGTGCTTCGTGCAGACCTTAGTTGGCCCTCGGCCCCGCTGTAGTTGTTCTCACTTCTGGCCCGGTCGGATCCCGTCCCCGGCCGTGCGGCTTCGTGACCGACGCAAGGTGCCTCGCCTCGTCTCTGTCCTGAGCCGCGCTTTCGCCCCCTGGGTTCCTACTCAAGTACAGCGGCCTTCAGCTGCTCTTCAGACACTTTACTCGTGTGGCGGCCTTCCGCCGCCCTCCCTTGTACGTGCACTTCTTGCCTTTGGACCCAAGTGTGTGTACCAGCAATACCGTCTGCATGGCAACACTAGTACGTGTTGCGTGTAGTCATTGTGGCCCCCGGCCCCGCTGTAGCTGGTTTCACCTTGCCAGGCTCGCCCCGGCCCCGCGGTTCTGTGACCGACGCAAAGATGGCTTCGCCTCGTCACCCTCAGAACCGTGCTCTCGCTCCCTGGGTTTCCCCAAGATACTACGGCCCTCAGCCGCGCTTCTCCGTCTTCCCTGGGAGCGACCCTGGGCTTGGGCTTGTCGTCAGTGGGTCTCAACGTTGCTCAGGCGGTCTCCGTGCGTTGTGGTACGCCCCGCTTCGTTGGCTGGAGTGCCCACCGGAGGTCGCTGCGGCCGTACTCGGACTCTGGGTCGCTGGTGTGCTCCCGTGCATGACTTGCCACAGTTTGGCAGCGGTTGGCCCAGGCCGCGCCCACACCTGTGGCTAGTGGTGCACCGCTCGCCGCAAGGATCCGTGCGCACTGACGTCACCCCATCGTCGCTCCCACGCTCAACCTTGTTGAGCGGTCACTTCCTGGGCTTCTTCGTGACTACGGACGGTTGCTGGTGCTGCAGCGGGTATGCGTCAGCGCAGCTTTCTCAGAGCGTTATTTCCACTCTTTCTGGTCCGCCAGGGTAGCCTGGAGAGCTGCTCTTTGTTATGTCACTTAGTTGCTTCCTGGTACACGCCCTGTCATCTTCGGTTGGCCCTCGTGTCTCGCGCCGAGGTCGGGAACAGGTGTACCTTCCGCACTGCGTCACATCATGTCCTTGATCTTTCGCGTGCGAACGCATCCTTCCGCTGTTGTTTTGAGGGTCGACGTGCATCGGTTGGTTACTGACTTCAGTCGTGCCTTTACAGCCGCGTTGGTGCGTACTCTGAAGCTGCGACGGTTCGCTGGCGCCGTCAGGGTCTTTCTTCCTGCAGGATGCCTGCGTCAGCTCTCTCGCCTACGGTCTCGCTCATACCCGGCAGACACCCTGGGCTCTCTGACACTCTTTTTGCACGGAGTCTAGATCCCCAGTGCCCTGTGGTCGTCGGACCGGACACGACCCTTGACTGGGGGTGTGCATCGCGCCAATTTGTTACGGCCAATTTGTTACGGCCGCAGCCCGACCGTGACCTGCCGCCGCCGGCGCTTCCGCCTACGGCTGTAATATATGTATATATAATATATGTATATTTATATATATATATACCCCCACCAGCCCATCCTACACCAGGCACTCACTCGAACGAAGAGCGCCGATGATCGGCAGCTGTTCTCCTCCCCTCTTCCTCCTTCTCCTCCGCCTTCTCCTCCTCCTCCTCTCCTCCTCCTCCCTCTCCTCCTCCTCCTCCTCCTCCTCCTCCTCCTCCTCCTCCTCCTCCTCCTCCTCCGCCTCCTCCGCCTCTTCCTCCTCCCTGGTGGCGTATTGGAAGTGTCTTCGAACGTTTTGGTGGGCTCTTGGGCCTTGCGGGCGGGCGGGCGGCGCTCCGCCCGCCCGCGCGCAGGGCCCAAGAGGGGGTCCAAGACGTCTCTCGGAGCCATCTTGGAGGAGATCGATCAATGAAGGGGGGTTCCTAAATTTCAGCCCCCCCTCAGGAGCCACGATCCTCGTGAGGGGTGTCGAATTTTAGCCCTCCCAAGGGTCGATCTTGGACGTTCTGACCGATCGCGGCCCCCCCTGTCCAGGTCAGTGGGGAGGGGGTAGGGGGAGGGGTAAACCCCTCCCCGAAGGGGAAGAAGGAGGGGTGGAAGAGGAAACGCTCTAAACCACCGACGCCCAGAGGGCTGGTGGGATTACGCTGGATCCGCGCTCCCAGGGCCCCGAGCCCTCATAAATTACGCGGCGTCCGCGCTCCCAAAGCCGTGATCCCTCGTAAATTACGCTGGGTTTGCGATCCAGGCATCCTGGAGCGCCCAGGAACGTCAAATTTTGCAAAACGAGCGTTTCGCTCAAGACATCTCCAGAATTTCTGCGCGCAGGACGCGCCAACCTCGAGCGGCATGCAAAAGTTAACATGTCCACATTTATTGTGTCTAGGTCGGGGCTCCAGACCTCGGTTTTTCTCGAGGATTCTGCTGAAAATGCTCCGCACCATTTTTTTTTACAAAGGACAACGGCTGTCTGCAGACCCCGTTGTTGATCGAGGATCCGAGATGGGGGGCGCACTTTCCTCGAGCGGGCAGGCGCGAAACGCATTTTTTCCACGCCGAATTGGACTTGACCGGCGGCGCCCCCCCGGGGGTTAACAATACTAAAAAGAAAGCCCTGGGCCGATGCCCTTTCTGGGAACAAGCAAGCAAAACAGAACAAGACGAACAACAAGTGCGCGTTGGAGCCCCACGCGCACTTGTTGCTCGTCTTGTTCTCGGGCACCCCTCCTCGGGCAGCTCGACGCGGGGATGGCGCCGAGAAGATGACGGGATGCAGCTGGAACAGTAGTCGGCGGCCAAGATCCAAGACCCCTGCACGGCGACGACGGCGGCGACGGCGGCGTCAAGCAGGGGCGGCCCAGCCAGGGCCTGGAGCAGGTGGTCTGAGGGGTTCCCCGCCCTCAGGAACTCGAGCATGCCCATGGCCTCCTGGGGCGCGGCAGACTCGCCCCCACTCCTCCTCCTCCTCCTCCTCCCTCCCTCCCTCCATCCATCCATCCATCCATCCATCCCGCCCTTCCTCCCTTCCCCACTCCTCCTCCTCCTCATCCCCCTCCTCCTCCTCTTCCTCCTCCTCCTCCTCCTCCTACTACTACTACTACTACTACTACTACCACCACCACCACCACCACCACCACCACCACCAACTACTACTACTACTACTACTACTACTACCACCACCACCACCACCACCACCACCACCACCACCACCACCACCACCACCACCACCACCACCACCACCACCACCACCACCACTACTACTACTACTACTACTACTACTACTACTACTACTACTACTCCTCTTCGTCCTCTTCGTCATTGTCCTCCTCCTCCTCCTCACCCGCCTCCTCCTTCTCATCCTCCTCCTCCTTCCCCAAAGACCCCACCCGGGTAATGAACCTCATTCGGTCACCTGCGGCGGGTTCCTGCCGTGGCTATGTGCGCGTTGGTTTCTGCCACTGCGCTGATCACTCAACCTTGGACAGTCGCAGCTTTCCGATTGCGCAGCATCGTTCGACATCGACCGATTCCGCACCACTGGCCTCACTCAACCTTGAACGCCCGCGCTGGGATCGCCAACGCCGCGACACGTCACAAGCCTTCCGTAACTTCCCACCCCGCGCCGCGCGAATCGCGGATACCAATCGCCTTCGCGCACTTTCACCGCAAACCCTGGAGAAGGGCAACCCTCAGGCCCAGACCGCGAAGCGCCAAGCGCGATGATCATCGCGCCACTGCGGGTGACCTGTATGACGACCCCCTCGTCCGAGTAGATGGGGTCGGAGCATCGCGCCGCATCGCCGATGCACCGGCGATGCGTCGGCGACGTCGGCGATGCATCGGCACCGTCGCCGTGGAGAAAATCTGGCTCCGCATCGAGCCGCATCGCCGGTGCATCGGCGATGCGGCGCGATCCTCCGACCCCATCTGCTCGGACCGCATCCGCGAGGCCTGGAGATTGGCCGCCCCCAGGGGTCTCCGGCAGCCCGCCCAGCGCCGCGAGCGCGTGGAGGCCCCGGTCGTGCAGGATGAGGTCCGTGGCCTTCCCCTGGGGAGTTATGCTGGCTGGCGGGGACGCACTGGCCCGGGTCAATGCAAACCCGGGTCAGTCGGGCTTGGCAAGAGCCTGCAAAATCCTGCAGGACCCTGCGCGCTGACCCGAGTCAGTGCACCCCCGGCTCTGCAGGATTCTGCAAGATCTGGGGCTCTGGCTGATCGGGGGGCGAAAGGGTATAGGATGGCAGAGGCCAGGGTAGAGAATCAGCTCACGCAGCTGACGTATCGAGGAATGGGCCCGGCGGCGGGGCCGAGACCAGCTGCGTTCGTGATTTTCGGGGGTTGCTAATTAAAGGTGCCTCTGGCCCAAGGTGCTCCCAGCTTTTCGCTCAATTTTGGAGCCCCTGGGGCCCTCTGGGCCTCGTGAGGGGTGATCTGGAGGCCGTGGGGACCTCCTTGGAAATCCGATCAGATCCCCAGACCACATCTGGTTGCGTCGTTTTTCGAGCTGGATCGATCTGCGAGGTCCTGGGACACGAACCCAGGCGAAAACGCCCGGTGTGAAACATGATCGACCCACGAACCCGAAAATAAATATAGAAATGTAAAGCATGGCAACTTTTTCAAGACACCTGATTGGGCGACGGGCACTTGCAATGCTGAGTGTCTCGATATTGATGTACCGTGCCAAGGGCTGTGCTTGGCTGCGCCGTGCTGAATAGCAGTGTGCCATGCAACGATCGTGCCCTATAGCGTTGTGGATCGAGTCCTCCTTTGCATCCGAGTCCTTACCGAACTGATCTGGACTTTAAGCTCGAACTGCCCGAGCACATAGCAACTGCCCCAAAGCTACTTGACAGTGGACATGCCTAGGATACTCGCCGCGGAACGTCCCAAGGGACGTGCCAGGGGACGTGCCATGGGAACGCACCGCGGGACGTGCCAAGGGGACGCGCTACGGAACATGCCAATGGACGTGCCACGGGACGCGCCAAGGGACGCGCTGCGCGACGTGCCACGGGGGAACTCACAACGGGACGCGCCACGGAGCGTGCCAAGTAACGCGCCTGGTTGCAAAGCTTAGTGTATCGATCTTGATGTACCGTGCCAAGGGCTGTGCTTGGCTGCGCCGTGCTGATTTGCAATGTGCCATGCAGCGATGGTGTTCTATAGCGTTGTGGACCGAGTCCTCCTTTGCATCCGAGTACTGACCGAACTGATCTGGATCTTAAGCTCGAGCTGCCTGGCAGATAGTAGCTGCCCCAGAGCTGATGCCAGGGGTACTCGCCGCGGAACGTCCCACGGGACGCGCCAGGGGACGTGCCAAGGGACGTGCCATGGGGACGCACCGCGGGACGTGCCAAGGGGACGCGCTACGGAACGTGCCACTGGACGTGCCACGGGACGCGCCAAGGGACGCGCTGCGCGACGTGCCGAGGGGACTCGCCACGGGATGCGCCACGGAACGCGCCACGGAATTTACCAGGCGACGCGCCAGGGAACGTGCCAGGGAACGCATCAGGGAACGTGCCGCGGGATGTCCCTGACCCAAGACCAAGATCCCTAATAAATTACGTTGAGTCCAGGCTCCCAAGGCCACGATCCATCGTGAATTACGCTGCGTCCCCGCTCCCAGGGCCACGATCCCTTGTACATTACATTGCGTCCGCTCTCGCTGGGCCACGATCCCTCGTAAACTACACTGCGCCCGCGCTCCCAAGGCAGCGCTCCCGTGTGAATTACAGCGTCCGCGCTCCCAGGGCCACGTTCCCCAATAAATTATAGCCCGGGTGCAGTATCCCCAAACAAGGTTTTTAAACCCGCTGCGGTTTCCAAGGTCGATTGCGTGCCCGTCCAGTGCGGGCTGGCATGGCATGTTAGAACATGATAACATGATATTTACACATGAGATGTTTACCCGAAAACTTGTGTAACGCATGCCTATCAGGAAACTAATGCTAGAGGGTGTCGTGCTCTCTCGCACCTGGTCGGCGAGTAAGCTGTCGGGTCGGCACTGTCAGAGGCTCAGTTTTGGCGACATTTTGGAGCTCAGTATTGAAGGATGTCTCAAACGAAACGGGCCGAACAACCTCTCGCACACGTTCTGACAAGTCCAAGTCACACTCGCTTCCCGTTAGGTCCTCTCCTGCAACTCCCTTCATTCTCCCTCCTCCTCCTCCTCCTCCTCCTCCTTCTCCTCCTCCTCCTCCTCCTCCTCCTTCTCCTCCCACTCCTCCTGCCTGCTCCCTCATCCACATAATCCTCCTCCTCCTTCTCCCTTCCATCTCCTCCTCCTTCTCCTCCTCCACCTCATCCACCTCCTCTTCATCCCGAACGGCATCTCGGAGCCCAGAGTTGCGAGGATGTCTCCAGCGTAACGGGCTGGACCACCTCGCGCGCGGCATCTCGGACCCAAGAGTTGCGACGATGTCTCGGGCGAAACGTGCTGCGAGGAAGTCTCAGGCGAAACAGGCCAGACCACCTCGAGCGCGGCGTCTCAGAGCTCCGAGTTGCGGGGGCCTCCTAGGGCCCCCTGGGGTCTCCTGGGGACCTCCTGGGGCTTCCTCCTGGGCCTCCTGTGGCCTCCTGGACCCCACCTGGGGCTTCCTGAAGCCTCTTGGGGCTCCCAGGGGGGGATGTCTAACATGTGGCCGTCTGGGCCCCCCAAAATGGGGGGGGGCCACAAGAGCAGGAAAAATCAACGAATCGGCACCGGATGTGTATTAACTTGACACGTTCTGATAGGGCCTCCTGGCGTCTCCTGGGAGCCTCCTGGGAATCTCCTGTGGGCCCCTGAGGCCTGTCCTGGGCGTCCTGCGGACTCCTGAAGCTCTCTGGGGCCTCCTGGGACTCCCAGGGTCCCAGGGGGGATAGGTAACATGAGGTCTCCTGGGCCCCCAGGCTGGACTACTTCTTGCGCGGCATCTGGGAGCTCAGAATTCCGAGAATGTCTTGCGCGAAACGGGCCGGACCACCTGGCGCACGGCATCTCAGCTCAGAGTTGCGAGGATGTCTCAGGCGAGACGGGCCGGACCACCTCGCGCAGGGCATCTCAGAGCTCAGAGTTGCGAGGATGTCTCAGGCGAAACGGGCTGGACCACGTCGCGCGCGGCATCTCCGAGGTCAGAGTTGCGAGGATGTCTCAGGCGAAATGGGCTGAACCACCTCTTGCGCGGCAGCTCAGAGCTCAGAGTTTAGAGGATGTCTCAGGCGAAACGGGCCAGACCACCTCTTGGGCGACATCTCAGAGCTAAGAATTTCGAGGACGTCTCAGACGAAACGGGCCGGAGCACCTCTCGCGCGGCATCTCGGAATGCAAAAGTGCGAGGATGTCTCAAGTGAAACGGGCCGGGCCACCTCTTGGGCGGCATCTCGGGGCTCAGATTTTTGAGGATGTCTCAAGCGAAACGGGCTGGACCACCTCTTGGGCGGCATCAGAGAGCGCAGAGTTGCGAGGATGTCTCAAGCAAAACGGACCGGACCACCTCGCGCACGGCATATCAGGGCTCAGAGTTTGGAGGATGTCTCAGGCGAAACGGGCCGGACCACCTCTTGCGCGGCATCTCGGAGCCCAGAATTTTGAGGATGTCTCAGGCGAAATGGGCTGGACCACCTCTTGCGCGGCATCTCAGAACTCAGAGTTGCGAGGATGTCTCAGGCGAAACGCGCCGGACCACCTCGCGCACGGCATCTCAGAGCTCAGAGGTTGGAGGATGTCTCAGGCGAGACGGGCCAAACCACCTCTCGCGCGGCATCTGGGAGCTCAGAGTTTGGAGGACGACTCAAGCGAAACGGGCCGGACCGCCTCTCGCGCGGCATCTGGGAGCTCAGAGTTTCAAGGATGTCTCAGGCGAAACGGGCCGGACCACCTCTTGCGCGGCATCTGGGAACTCAGAGTTTGGAGGATGTCTCACGCGAAACGCCCAATCCTGGACAACTCAGAAACGAGAGTTGCGAGGATATCTCAGGCGAAACGGTACGGACCACCACACTTTTTTGAGGACGTCTCTTCTTTGAATTCCCTCGGCCCGAGTTAGCTTCTACCACAACAGCACCCCGTTCAGCAAGCTATTTGGGGAATTACACTGTGTCCGCCCCCCAAGGCAACGTTCCCAAACAAATTACGCTGCGTCCGCGCTCCCAGGTCCACGATCCATCGTAAATTACACTGCGTCCGCGCTCCCAGGGCCACGACCCCTCGTAAATGACGCGCGCTCCCAAGGCCGCGCTCCCTCGTGAATCACGCTGTGTCCGCGCTCCCAGGGCAACGTTCCCTAATTAACTACGCTGTGTCCGCCCCCCCAGGACCACACAATCCCTAGTAAACTACGCTGCGTCCGCGCTCCCAGCGCCACGATCCATCGTACATGACGCTGCGTCCGCGCTCCCAGGGCCACGATCCCTTAGTAAAGCACGCTGCGTCCGCGCTCCCAGGGCCACGATCCATCGTAAACTACGCTGCGTCTGCACTCCCAGGGCCACGATACATTGTGAACTACGCTGCGTCCGCGCTCCCAGGGTCGCGCTCCCTCGTGAATTACGCTGTGTCCGCGCTCCCAGGGCCAAAATCCTTAGTAAATTACGCTACGCTGCGTCCGCTCTCCCTGGGCCACGATCCATCCTAAACTACGCTGCGTCCGCGCTCCCAGGGCCGCGCTCCCTCGTGAATTACGCTGCGTCAGCGCTCCCAGGGCCACGTTCCCCAGTAAATTACGCTGCCTTCGGCTCCCAGAACCACCTGGGCATCCTGGAGCGCCCAGGCCGCTCGAGTTTTGCATAACAAGCGTTTTGCTCGAGACATCCTCGAAATTCCTGCGCGCGGGACGCACCATCCTCGAGCGGGCACGCAAATAGTCAACGTTTCTATATATATATATATATATATATGTATTTACAAGCCCGGGCGGAAGGAAAACCCGTCACCCCCCCAAAAAAAAACCGGACTCCCGGGATCTGGGGCTTTGGGACCCTCCGGACAAGCCTCGAAGCGGCACCCTGGGCCTCGCACGGCGTTTTGCCAAGCCTTCCCAGCACACCTAGGGCGATCAGGGG